TCTTTGTTTAACATAATAGGGTAGAAAGTCATTAGATATGTCTAAGATTGAAGAATCAAAACATATATCATTAATCACATATTTTTGGAAACTCTAAGATGTATAAATGCCTAAAGAAACAGCTAAATGAATAGAAACTGGTTGTCTCTGGAGAGGGAAACTGGAGTAGGGAACCTCTATTTCAGTATTTTTTTTTTAAGCTATACATATGTATTACTTTGATTAAAAAGAAACTTCAAAATAAATAACTTACTGAATCTATAATCACTGAGTCCGGTGTTCTTCCAGTGAAAACGAAATTCAGTTGCTTGGCAGCTCTGACCAATGCTCCTTCATCTATTTTAGGAAAACAGGTAAAAGCAAATGTATGAGAAAAAAAATTTTCAAGACACAAGAGAAATATATTACTTTAATACACTTTTTGGCTTGATTGAAATTCTTTTTATTCTGGCCTTTGTTATTGAAATATTTCTCTTTTTAAATTATATGAGAATGCCAAAGGAATGAGTAGAATAAAAGAAACAGAACAATCTTAAGTGTTTGAGACAGTAATAGACCCCAGAGTCCTATTTCTGAATACTAAGTTTCACTGTTAGCATACATACCTAAAAAAGATTACTTAAATGTACCCCTTGGTCTAGAATATTCTCTGGAAACCTTTCACAAAATTAATAGCACAAAATTTGTTTCTTAAGATTTACTCTTTTTCTTCTAAAAAGTTAAACATTGAAAGACTAATACTACTGAGGATTCAATTTATGCAGATTTAAATAAATTGAGGTCTTTAAAAATTATATATTAATTACTTTCCTCACCATGTTGTATCAAACCTTTTCCTTGCTGAGAGTGGGATAGGATAAGAATACATCCACACGGTTTCTATCCTAACAATCTGGGATGTAACATTTCTCAAGGGTTTTAGACATTCAGTACATTCTACAAGGTCACAAGTGCTGGTTTAAAATACAGTTTAAAATGCTTATTCACCATGACAATATGTAAAAAAGTTCTCCAAAGTGTTTATTCTTTCCTAAAATTTTACAATCACTGAATTATCTACTTACCCAATTTTATACTCTAAAATTTTTTTGTAACTATAAAAATAGGTCTAAAATTAAGCATAAATATTAAATATTGATAAGTAAACTGATAAATATTTTATGGAATCTCTTTTCCACCCATATAAATACACAATAAATGCCCTGATTAACATTTCCAAAAGAAGAAAGTAAAGTTGGGGCTCTGAAGTCATATATGGTCATTATTTTTAGGCAAACAGATCTTCCTTTTCTTGGCAATTTATGGCTAATATTTTATACCTAGTTATTTATAAGGAGAAAAATTTCTATATGTATATAAGAAAGTACATTTTTTTTCACTTGTGTAAATTTGGTTGTTCAAAATTTGTAATTCAAATTTCCATGTAACTTAATATACAAAAAAATTACATACACAAAGTTATGTATTTTGACATATATAAATTTAATCTTGAAAGCCAAGATTTTTCTAATTAGTAAAAAAAATTTTATCTAAAA